TTTGTTGTGTCCAGCCCTGGGGCTATCCAGCCCATGAGGCTTGTCCATGCAGTCCTGGGCTCTCCAGCCCATATCCAGCAGAAGCAGATGCAAAGATTTTGGCACTCTCTGCTGCTGTAGTAATCCACAGCTGCTAACTACTTGACAGCTGTACATTTAATTCTTTGCAGGGCTCTCTGGGTCTTCTTCACACTCAGGAGAGGCTTCTTGTACTTCTTCTTCTCCTTCAGAAGTAGGGCTTGGAGGAACCAGCACTTGGGAGTCTTCTGTCATCAGTAGCTTCCAGCCAGCCTGCAGCAGGTCTTCATTCGAAGTCTCCACTCCCTTCACATAAGTGATCTTCCTCCTTTTTGCTTCAGCTGCATTCATGGCACTGTGCCCTGGACTTTCACAGCTGAGAGCCAAAAAGAGCTCATCCAACCAAAAGCATGGGTCAAGCAGGGCTACACCCAGCCCAGCTAAGCAGTCTGTTGGCTCAGAGGGCTCTCCAGCCCATGCAGTCTTTGTTGTGGTGTGCCTTTTTTATCATCCTTCACTTCTACTAGTCTTCTGCCATGGCCATGTACCCTTCCAGGTACAAGTGAAACATGAGTCGAAACTTTTGGCACACTTTCAATGGCACCTTGTGCCCTGGAGTGCCATGTGTGCAGGAGGCAGCCATTTGGGCTATCCAGCCCATATAGCTTTCTGAGCCATAGGTCCAGCTGAGGCTGGGGTGCATGCTGGCCTGATCTCCTAAGTGGAGAATAAGGTGCGATTTTTGCGCCAACGACCACAAATGCAAGCCATGCTCCATTGAATCTCTGGCTAACCAGGCATAGTGTGACATCATGTGTTCCACTCCTCTTTGGAAGTCTTTATGTTTGTGGGGGCCCCACTCTTTCCATGGACAGCTCAGAAGAGTGTAGAGCTGGGCTAACTCTTTGGCTGCTGCCTCTCTATGCTTCCCAGCCTTGTCCCCTTCATTGTGCTCCTTGGCCAACTCCACTGCCACAGGAGCAAACCACCTTATCTTTGCTGCTTTTTGGTGTTTCAAGCAAGGATATTCTTCATTGCTTTCAGCTATATCGCTCAGGCTCAAAGATCTTAGCCTTTTCTGGGCCTCAATCTGGAGCTTGTCATAGTGCCTGGTGATGTCCTTGTTCAGTTGTGTTAGCCTATCTTGTCCTGAGTAGGGCATGCAGGCTCAAATGAAATATGGGTTATCTTGAGGGCTGTCCAGCCCATTTTCAAGACGAGTTGGCAACCAATTGAAAGGGTGCTGAGTCTCACCCTAGGATCTGTTTCTGCCAGGCAGCTTCTCCATGATGCTGTACAGCAAGGAGCCATGCAGGTATGCAGCGACTCCTAGGTCAACTGTGTGCAGCCAGTCGAGCTTGACAGAGTGAATGCTCACTGCTGGGGCTTTCCACAGAGGGTGGCCTGCAAACTTGGACTGGAGCTCATCTCTTGAGAGGATTGTTTTTCTCCAAGCAGCTGTAGGCCTGAAGTCTGTGTAGGAGTACTTGGAATTCTCTTTCTTCTGGTCAGCATTGCAGTATGGGCACACCATGTTGGATGAAGCCCAAGGAAACCCAAATTCTTGACAATACCACTCCAGATCTCCAGTGATGCTCCAGCATACTCCTTTTCTGAGCCTCTTTCCCCTGTTGGCCTCTACAGGCTGCCCTTGCAAATCTTTTTTAGGGCACACTCCAGTGAAAAGAGCTTGCCAGGACCAGGCAACAGTCTCCATCACTTTTTTGAAAGTTGACTTTGTCATAGCCAGCTTTGGCACAGCTGTGATCAGCAGTTGGCACTCAGACACAGACCTTCTGGAGAGCAAGCACCTGAAGCTAAGCACTTGTACACTGTCGACTTCTGTGAAGGGAGCTCCATCCCCATGCAAGACATATGGGATTGGAAGCTGGTTGGGGGTTGCATCCTGAATCATCTTTTCTAATTCTGGTGTCATTTGTGGACTATTCATTT